CCAATACAATGTGGTTGCTAGGTATGTGTCATTGTGTCTTGACTATTAGTTATCTTCTTTTGATAATATTGTAAGGACTTAACTTAGAAAAAAAATGAGGCACACATCCAAACAAGCTTTTAATCAATAATATGTTTTCTATCTTTAGCCATTATTTCTAATTAGGAAGTTAGGAATAGCATCTTGAACTAAGTATCCTATAAATATCAGACATTAGAACATGGCATTATGTTTGACGTGTGGATCTAAGGATCCTAAACATGTCAGCACAGTTGAAAGTAGCATTAAAATGCAAAACCATGGATCCAAAAAATACCACATAACCAAGTACTAGGTGTGGCACATGGACCAGAGGATCCTAAAAATATTATAACAAAGTTAAGAAGGTTGCTGCACCAAATGAAACTAAGGATCAGATAAGCATCTGAGATCAGCCACAGTATTGAGTTTGGCAAAGATACTGGATATTTCAGCCTCTTACCCAATTTATGCATTATAACTAGGAAGTAGGAACAATCATCCTGCTTGGCAAACAATTGGTTGAGTTTGGAAGATTCAAGTTAAAGATAATAGATATCTCATATCTAATAAGAAGTATAAGACATTTGGTTCTATTTAATTTTCAGTTAGAGGCAATAGTGGCTAAAATAACATAACAGCATATTTCAGCCCTTTAAGCTAACAGATCCATTCATAAATGAGAAGATATTGATGACCTAATTAACACAGATGTATTGCAAGTATAGTAAGTTTAATTGTTAAAAAAGAAAACTGCATATCACGAGCTAAACACAGACAATACTAGACTTACTAGTAAAAGTATACTCCTGCATTTGTCACCATTAATAAGCTCAAGGATAACTTGGCCAGAAAAAGTAAGTGTGACCACAATTTGGTCCTAATGTGTTAGTATGAAATTCTTAGCACCGAGACATTATAGATTTGGTCGCTTAACGGGAGGATTCATAAAAAAAAAGGTCACTTCTCATGTATCTGCATTCTAAAAAAGCTCACTATCTGCTATACACTCTGTTACACTACTAAACTTGGTGAGCCAAATAATTTGCACAAGTACATTGTACGACCTATCATGGCGTATTTATACCCAAGACTCCTTGATAGTGAACTTCTGTACACGATGAACCAAAAAACTTATCCTTAATCTAGCTGTACACATGAGGAAGCATGCAAAGATTATGAAAGACCTCAACTTTTCTCGAATCTATATCCAAAAGGTCCAAGCTTTTCATAAAAAAAAAGGTCCAAGCTTTTCACACATTCTTTTAGAGCCCATTCACTGCAATATCCTACGGCTAAAGAATCATTACAATTCGGGAAAGTTTAGCTCTGCGCTATCAAAATTGACATGAAGAAATATACCAGAGTGATCAATAACGAATAACAGATCATAAGAGCAAGAAGACACAAGATTTTAACAATAACATTTAAAGTGGTGAAGGGAGAACCTTCTCGAGCTCGTCTTGAACCTCTTGAAGCCTTTCAACGGAGAGAACAAGGTCCTGGTCAATGGGATTGGACTCATCATCTTGGGCGGCATCGGAGACCTTAGACTTCTTGCCACGATCCGCCACCATCTTGCTCAGCCCTAGTAGCCGAATTAAACCCTAGAGAGAAGATGAAGAAGACAGTAAGTGGGGCTTGAGTGCGAAGGAAACTTGCAAGGAAGGTCTTGTAGTGTACGGAGTTTTATTTTGTCACAACACAATCAAAATTAGGTAGTGTCCTGTGGGTGTGCCTAGGCAATCCTGATGCAAAATACTGTTTCAATCATATTGTTTCCCCTCATTTGTCTTGACCAAAGATATACTGTATTTATGTATTTTTCATAATTCTTTTTCATGTTCTATTTCTAATTTGATGATTTTCTTTATTTTAATAATAATGTTGTTCTTCAAAAAAAATGTTGTTTGTCCAAAAATAAACTTTAGAAATAGATAATATCTACAAAATAGAAATATGATCTTTGAATTAAAGTGGTTAAGCTTTAGTCTTTATTTTTCAAATAAAAAATCACTCTTAATTCATATAATAATCTCTTTTGTTTTATTTCATAAAAACATAAAACGATCAATTCGATTTTTCGGATTGGTTTTAATCAGGGACCATATTTGGTCACATAATATCCAATTATATCCAAGCATATTAAAACGATTTCGATTTAATTAATTAGATCTAACTTACAACACGTGATATTAATTACTTCGTGATAAAGATAAGACGAAATCAAATTTGGGAAGTATAATCTAATCTAAGTAGATTAATTCAAAGCCTAAGACAACACTTAAGACAAATCAAATTATAATGACAAAGTTTAATCCAAACCTAAAACACTTGGTTCAAAATGGCATCATTTTGATCACTTGGGTTGGATAGCTTTCACACTAAATGCGATTGCGGATAGTGTTCAATATATTTCCATTATAGCTGAATCGAATACCAAAACGCATTAAGCAAAGCAATCGTACCATATACATAGAACGTATTATTGGGTGATAATCTCATGTCCAACGCTTACCAAATACATAGAACATGTGAAAATGTGGAAAAGTTCATTAATAATAAATGTGTGCCAAATAAAAAATGGAACTTTAATATCATTTTAGCATTACTTATAGCACACAATTGTAAATATATGGTGATTATCACATTAGTATGTGTGACGAATCAAACTCAGAAATCAAAACTTTATTGAAGAAGAAGATGAACGAAGATATATTGCAGAGCTTTAGGTGCGGAAATGATTAACATCAGAATGAAAGAAGTTAACCTATTTACAAAGTCTATGAGGTATTTATACCATTCTATATAATATATAAAATAAAAGGAAATAAGTACAAGCCCAATAAACATTAGATAGGCCCAAGTACTAAATAAAAACAGCCTAATGTATTATTCTTGATACGCCCCTCAAGAGGAGCATGAATGTCCATCATGTTCATCTGACTGCAAATTGACTGAATAAGGGATTCCCAAATGGTTTTGTGCAAATATCTGCAAGTTGGAAATCATTTTTAATATGAGTTAAAGTGATTAAACCAGAATTAATCTTTTCTCTGACTAAATGACAATCCAGTTCTATATGCTTGGTTCTTTGATGTTGAATAGGATTATGAGCAAGATGATAAGTAGACTTATTACCAATATAAATATTTTTAGGCAAAGGAACTAGCATATGTAAATCATTAAAAATATATGATAACCATTGAGCCTCACAGACAGCATTGGCAGCTGCCCTATACTTAGCTTCAGTAGAGGATCTACTAACATTCTAACAACCTGTTGTTTTTTAGATTTCCAAGAAATTAAAGAATTACCATGGTAAACAACATAACCTGAAACACTTCTTCTAGACTTCTAGTATCTATGCAGGCTGCCTAGTCAGAGTCAGTATATCCTTGAATAGAAAAGTCAGAAATGCAGCGATAAAATAAACCTTTACCTGGAGAATTCTTAAGGTATCTCAGAATTATGTGAGCTGCACTTAGATGAATATTAGTGGGAGAAGAGAGAAATTGACTAAGGACAGTTAGGGTTCTATAGGTCTTAGGATTTTCTAATTAAAACATTTCCATCATTTTTAGACAATTTAATCTTAGAGTCCATAGGAGTAGTTTAAGGTTTAGAGTGGAGATAACCATATTCTGTTAAAATGTCTAAAATGTATTTTCTTTGGCATAGATACATGCTTTTATCAGATCTAGCAATCTCAACCCCTAAAATGTATTTTAATTCACCAATATCTTTAATAGTAAATTTATTGTGTAAAAAAGTTTTAACAGCATTGATTTCTTCTATACTGTTTCCAGTTAAAATGATATCATCTACATATATTAAAAGGACAGTAAAACAGTTTTAAGTGATTTTAGTGAATAAAGAAAAATCAGCCTGAGATTGTTTATAACCAAAGAGTATTAAAGAATCAGAAAGCTTACAAAACCATTGCCTAGATGCTTGTTTGAGACCATAGAGGCTTTTAACAAGCTTGCAGACCCTGTTATCTGTAGGAAGTAAATAACCTGGAGGAGGCTGCATAAAATATTTTCATTTAAGTCACCATGTAAAAAAAGCATTGTTTACATCAAGTTGGTGTAAAAACCAGTTTTTAGCACTAGCAATGTATTGCCAATATAATTCTGACAGTAGTTATCTTAACAACAGGGGAGAAAGTATCAAAGTAATAAAAATCCTCTTCTTGAGTGTAGCCTTTTGCCACTAATCTGGCTTTATATCTATCTAAAGATCCATCAGGTTTAAGTTTTGTTTTAAAAACCCATTTACAACCTATGATGTTCTGATTAGGAGGAGGTGGAACTAAAATCCAAGTTTTGTTGTTCTCTAAACCTTGAATTTCATTAATCATGGCAATCTGCCATTCAGGAATTTTAGAAGCTTATTTATAAGTTTTAGGTTCATGGATCTTGGAAAGGGCAGCAATAAAACAAGAATAAGAAGTACTTAATCTATTATATGTTATATGATTTTGAATGGGATATTTAACAAGGTTACATGAAGAAGAAGGAGAAGGAATACCTGCAGTGATAGAGTTAGGTAATTCATAATTGTAATCTTGTAAATGAATAGGTATAGACCTTACTCTGGTTGATTTTCTTTGGTGCTGATCCTCTGAAGCTGTGACATTGTTAGTAGCAGTATCATTGATATCCATAGTATTAATTTCATCATCTATATGGTTTTCTAAATAATGATTATTAAGGATGTTATACTCATAAGTATAATCATCAGAAGTGGAAGAATGTAAAATAGAGTCGGAATTGACAGAATCGTGATTAGAAGAATCAGAAATATTTTTATAAGGAAAAATCATTTCATAAAATTTTACATTTCTTGATATAAAGAATTTGTGATTAGAAATGTCATAGAGTTTATATCCTTTTGAACCAAGAGGATATCCAAAAAACAGTTTTTGCAGCTCTTTTATCAAACTTTGATCTATCAGTAGAGAGAGTAGAAGCATAAACCAGAGATCCAAATACTCTTAGATGAGAATAATCAGGCAGTTAACCATATAATAATTCATAAGGAGATCTATTATTAAGAATAGCAGTAGGAATTCTATTTATAATATGAACATCAGTAAGAATGCAGTCAGACCAAAAAGTGATAGGCAAACATGATTGAAAAAGAAGAGATCTAGCAACTTGAAGAATATGCTGATGTTCTCTTTCAACCCTAGCATTTTGTTGAGGAGTTTCAACACAAGATAATTGGTGAATTATGCCATTATCGATATAAAAGGAAGGAAAAATAAATTTAGTTTCATTGTCAGTTCTAATAATTTTGATTTTAGTATGAAATTGAGTAAGAATCAGATTATAAAAATTGAGCATATGAGTTTTAACTTCAGATTTATTTTTCATCATAAAAACCCAGGTACATCTAGTATGATCATCAACAATGGTTAAAAAATATTTGAAGCCATAATAAGATGGAATCCTAAAAGGTCCCCAAACATCATATGAACAAGATCAAAAGCATTAGAAGCATAAGAAGTACTATCAGGAAAAGGTAAATGTTTCTGTTTAGCAAAATGACAAATATCACAAGAAGTAATTTTATTGATATGATGATGAGCAGTACAATCAACAAGAGACTTCAGTTTATTGAAAAGTAAATGTCCTAATCTATAGTGCCAAATAACAGATTTATTATCTAAAGATTGAGTATGAGCAACATGAGCAACAGAAGAAGTATTTGATAAAAGAGCATACTATGAAGAACTATAAAGATAAAGACCACTTTGATGATCAGCATAGCCAATCATTTGGTTGGTGAGCAGATCCTGCAAACTTGTAACACCCTACCCGAATCGGCCCCGCCGACCCGAGCGGTGTGTCACGTGGCAGAAATCAAAACAGATTTAAATAAAACACTTTTAATTATTTAAAACAAAATTTAGTATTTAAATAAATCATCGTTATTCAAACGTCAACTTATTTTTCGATACCTGAAATATCAAGTCACCATAAATCACTTAATATTATACAGCACAAAATATTTCAAGATATGCGGAAGCGTTTACAAAACGAAAATGATCAGATAAGTTTAAAGTCAAACTTGCTTCTTATTTGTTTATTTATAAACAATACACACATGATATGCATATGAATCCTACGCCTCCTTCCATCCCAGCATCCTTATCTTAGCTGAATGTACTTCAACCTACGGGTAGGGAAAAACAAACAACTACCCGCTCAGCAATGTGCTGAGTGGTACTGTATAAATACTGATAACAATAATCATAACAATATTGATAATAATAATTATCACATATATTTAAATCAAATAGCAACATAACATAATTAGCATCTAGTCAAACAAACAATTGACATACCTGAGTGAGCCGAATAACTGTCATGAAAATCAAAATATTCATATTCAGATCAGAAGCATATTCAGATGTCATAATTATCAAATAATTCTTATCCGGAGGTATATTATTAATAAATTCATTTAGGCCTTGTACTCAAGAAACTGGACCTAGACAGAGGAATACTAACGGTAAGGAATACAGACATAAAGTCCATACCCACATTACCCAGAAAGGATATGGAAACGTAATCGCCGGAGCTACACGTACCAATCCCTAACAGAAGCTAGCTGAACAGAAGGGACGAGATCACCGAAGAGACTCGAACCTTAACAGAAGAGTAATAGTGCTCTAAAAAGATTTCAGGAGTGTACATAGTACACTAAACAGGAGAACACTAATTCCTCTAAGACAGAATTTCAGGAGTGTACGTAGTACACTAAACAGAACAGATCAGGAGTATTCGTGTCAGAGTGCCGGATCAAGAGCAAGACCTTTGAGAACATTTTTTTTTAGTTTGTTTACAATACAAATATTGAAGTTAACATATCTTACATTTAGGAACATTTTTCGGTATTGGTATAACTAAATCTGTACCGTATGTTTTCATTAATTTTAATTTCTACTCATCGTATCTTAATCATATATATTTATTTATAAAGTTTTTATATATTCAATATGTCCAGTCATTTCTTTAGCCATAATTATAAATAAAACCATTTAATAAATTTACATCACATGTGTTTGCTTGGATACGAATAGTAGTATCTAGGATCATAATTATAAAGGGACACATGTATAGTACTTAAAATAATGCATGTAAATATAAGCCTTACACATAGACACGTATGTATACATATTCTTGGTAAAGTCAACTACTTTTATTCTAGGAGTATATATTAATAATTTTCATGGTTCCACTAACTAGCTAGTTATACGTGCAAAGCTTTAAACTTATTAATAATTTATCTAATTAATTATACATACATATATTAATAAATTATTTTTACTTTATAGGCCAAACCTTCAAATGCGTGGAGTTATATACTCCGTATATATTATTTAATATCTATATAAACTTAACTTATGGCATGTGACTTTCAAATCTAAATTTCAGAAATAAGTAATACGGAGTATTAAACTATAGTCAGTATGAGTACAGTGCTTACGTAAATAAAATCTATAGAACTTAATAACCTACCTATATGGTTATATACGTGTGTTTAAACTTATATACTCCGTATTAAGTACGTTGACAAATCTTAACTGGCCTTAATAATACACATGTACTACATAATTATTTACGGAAATGACATTACAACGAATTACTTTTTTTTTTTTACAATTACGAAATGGCATATAGCGATATTTAAGTATTTATATGTGCATAACTCTTACAAGTATTAGTAGGATTAGTTTTTATGTTTCATGTAATAATGGAAATGTGAAATCCGTAAACTATAGCTTTCAAAATTAACTTAGTCGGTGGTCCATTTTATTATTTTTCAGATGTATACAAGCAGTCAAACCTTAATTCCGTCAATGGAACTTTTTCATTTTAATTTCGTTTACATACGATGTATACTGTAATCATCAATAATAGCTCTTATAAATCATGAACACATAATTAAAGCATACAAATATTTCTAAGGCTAAATAATATTCATCATGTATAACTTAACATATATTTACCGAATACTAATATCATGTATTTAGAGCATGCAAAATATTCTAAGGCTATATGATTCTTCATCATCCTCATAACTCAACATGAAACGGGACGGAAATTATACTTACAAAATAATATTAAAATATACATGAACTAAAACTGGGTCAGAAGTACTGACCTTAAAGGCAAATACTTCTAAAATTTTATTGGAACGGAAACCTCCTAGACGGCTCCTCCTAGACAGCTGTATACTTCGTGGAGCTACTCCGTATATTTCTTTTGAGGAGTTTCTTGTTTTAGTTAGTATCCAGATCATGTAAAAATGAGAGGAGGTAGGCTTCCTATTTAAAGCCAATTGAGTTTCATGTGTGTGGCTAGGATTTTCATAAAGCAATAATTATCTTCTCTCAAATAGTACGTATGATCATTCACTCTCCCATACCATGAGGTGGCTTACTATTCATTTGTTTGGATGTCCATAAATTTTAACATGTCAATTTGTCTCCCTTAAGTTCACTATGCAATTAAATCATTCAATCAAATAATTCAATTCATATCATTTGTTTATTTGAGTACGTTACTTCACATCCCTTGCCATTTAAATTTTATTTTGTTAAGTTTAGGTGTCAAATTCTAGAATTTAATTAAATCCCATGAAAACATTTTTTTTTGTAGAGCTAATACACCGTATTTTATAATTATCTCATTACTTGATTCATCTAAAATTTTCGTGTATTGAAGCTTATCAAAATTTCGTTATAATTTAATTAATTAATAAAGAAAAGTGTCAGTAAATTTTATGTTGTTAGACTAAGGTAATAATATCTATAAAAATAAATTATTCATATGTATCTTAACTATTAGACCGGATTTTGGGGCGTTACATTTCTCCCCCCCTTAAAAGAATTTCGTCCTCGAAATTACCTTAGTTGACGTTGTTGAACAAATATGGATACTGAGCCATCATGGCTTCTTCGGTTTCCCAAGTTGCTTCTTCCGTGGTGTGGTTTCTCCAAAGAACTTTGACTAAGGGAACCGTTTTATTCCTTAACACCTTCACATCTCGAGCCAGTATTTGTACTGGTTCTTCTTCATAGGTTAAATCTTTATCAAGCTCCACAATTCCGGGTGTTAGTACATGTGAAGGATCAGATCTATATCTTCTTAGCATAGACACATGAAAAACATTATGTATTTGGCTCAACTCTGGTGGTAATCCTAGTCGGTAGGCTACAGGACCAATACGTTCAGTGATTTTGTAAGGTCCAATAAACCTCGGACTTAGCTTACCCCTTTTCCCGAAACGGAGTACTTTTTTCCAAGGAGACACTTTCAAGAAAACCTTTTCTCCTATAGCATACTCGATATCACGACGCTTTAGATCAGCATATGATTTTTGTCTATCTGATGCTTCCTTGAGTCGTTGTTGAATCAATTGGACCTTCTCCTCTGTTTCTTGAATCAAATCAGGCCCAATGGTCTTTCTTTCACTTAGCTCTGTCCAACAGACGGGAGTTCTACACTTTCGACCATACAGAGCTTCATACGGTGCCATCTGGATGGTAGCTTGATAGCTATTGTTGTATGCAAACTCCATAAGAGGTAGGTATTTTTCCCAACTTCCGTTGAACTCAATAGCACACCCTCGCATCATATCCTCAAGAATTTGAATAACTCTTTCAGATTGACCATCTGTCTGAGGATGAAAAGCTGTGCTAAAGTTCAATTTCGTACCAAGTGCCTCTTGTAAGCTTTTCCAGAATTGAGAAGTAAATCTTGGATCTCTATCGGATATGATGGATAGCGGTATCCCATGTAGTCGAACTATTTCTTTGAGATACAATTCAGCCAACTTGTTTAAGGAAAAATCTCTTCGAATGGGTATGAAATGAGCAGATTTGGTAAGTCGGTCTACAATTACCCAAACAGAGTCATTCTTCCTTGGTGTCAAAGGTAACCCCACCACAAAATCCATGGTTACCCGATCCCATTTCCATTCTGGTATCGTAATGGATTGTAACAATCCAGATGGAACTTGATGTTCAGCTTTAACTTGTTGGCAAGTGAGACACTTAGAAGTATACTCAGTGATATCACGTTTCATACCGGACCACCAGTATAGATTCTTCAAATCTCGATACATCTTGTTGCTGCCCGGATGCATTGAGTACTTTGTTTCATGTGACTCCTGAAGAATTCTTTGTTTAACCTCTCCATTAGGAACGACCAAACGTCCCTTGAAGCACAATCCACCATTACTTTGTTTAGTGAATTCTGGTTTCTCCCCTTTAGAATTTGACTCCACTATTTGAAGGCACTGATCATCAGATTTTTGAGCTGTTATGATTTCTTCTTGAAGTGAAGGTTTGAGATGTAATTCAGCTAGAGTTTTCCGACTCAAAGCATCTGCCACAACGTTAGCTTTCCCTGGATGGTAATTGATTAGACAATCGTAATCCTTGATTAATTCTAACCAACGCCTTTGCCTCAAATTTAGCTCCTTTTGCGTCGGAAGATATTTCAGACTTTTGTGATCGGTAAAGATGTAACACCTTTCCCCATAAAGATAATGTCGCCATATCTTTAAAGCAAAGACAATAGCGGCTAACTCCAGATCATGTGTGGGGTAGTTCTTCTCGTGCTCTTTGAGTTGTCTCGAGGCATATGCGATCACTTTTCCTTCTTGCATTAATACACATCCCAAGCCATTATGAGAAGCATCACTATACACGGTGAAGTCCTTACCAGATACCGGTTGAACAAGTACCGGAGCTTCTGTGAGAACCTTCTTTAGTTTATCGAAACTCTCTTGACAAGAGGGTGTCCATTCAAAACGTGAATTTTTCTTCAAGAGTTTATGAAGAGGTGAAGCTATCAAGGAAAAGCCTTTAACAAAGCGACGATAGTAACCTGCTAATCCCAGGAAACTTCGGACCTCCGTCACAGTTCGAGGTGGTCTCCAATTTGTAATGGCTTGAATTTTCGTGGGATCAACTCTTATGCCATCTGCTGAAATGACGTGACCCAAGAATGTTACTTGATCAAGCCAAAATTCACACTTCGAAAACTTGGCATAGAGTTTGTGCTTTTGTAGTGTTTCTAAGACAATCTTAAGATGTTCCTTGTGCTCCTCCTTAGACTTTGAATAGACCAGAACATCATCAATAAATACAACCACACATT